GCCGCCACCACCAGGGTCTCTAGACCGCGAACGCCGCGCCCCGGACCGGGACCTGGATCTGTGCTTCCTGCGCCGGCGCCCATACAGCTCCCGCCGCAGCTCCCTGGAGATGGGCTTCAGGTGCATGAAGTTGCAGAAGCCTCCTCGCGCGCACGCTCCCGTTTCGTACTGGCGGCAGCAGGCCTCTCTGAAATCCGTCACGGGAGACAGCTCGGCGTGGATCGGCTGCCCGTGAAACCAGCGGCTGTTCACGGCCACCAGGGCCTTTTCCGCATCTTCCTCACGGCCAAACTTGACATAGACGTTCCCCACCAGGTGGTCCCCCAGGTTGTCGCAGACGTTCATCTCTTCCACTTCCCCGTACTCCTCCATCTCTGTAAACACCTCCTGGAAGAACTCCTCATAGTGCTGCTGCGTCTCGGCCTCGCTCAGGGCACCGCGCACACCGTCGGCAGACTGGGCAGGGTTCTGAGGGTTGCGGTACATGTGCCGGAGGACGATGGTCTGGCTAAACGTCGGCCTGTTGTGCAGTCGAGAGCATCTGTCTCCATGGCGACATGCTCCAATTTTGAAATAAAACGAGCAGTTGACTTTGTCCTTCTCGGTGCCGAAGATGGAGGCCAAGTACTCCGCCATTTCCCACCCTCCACGGCCCACGCAGGTTTATCTGGACTCTCGGCTCTGTGCCCAGGAGGACCGAGGCGTCCTGAAATGACAGGAGGCGCAGCTGCTAGCAGATGAGGGAGAGGTCCGCACCCGTGTGTCTCTCTGGTCCCATTTCCTCTGCTTATATGCCTGCCTGAACTCAATCATGAGGGCCGGCCCCCATGACACCGTCACACCCACACCCCACCCTGGGACGCCTAGAAGGAATGAAGTCTTTGCTTAACATCTTTACAAAAACCATCCAGCCCCGTCCATGAATTCCTGGTGCATAGCCAGCCACCACCACTGAGACCTAACACAGCAGGCGGTGTGCTGTCTGAGGCGTTGGACTCTGACATGGGCAACGAGGGTTCGACTCCTGGACCTGGTGGCTTACTCTCTCAATTTTACCCTCTCTCTGTCTTTCTCTGATGACTACAGCAGGTTAAAAGAATAATATAGGTGGGGCAGGCAGGTGGCATGATGGTTAAGGACGCTGGACTCCTACATGACTGACTGCAGTTCAAGTCACGGACCTAGCAACTTACTTTCTCGATTTCTCTCTCTCTTTACTCATCAAATAAAAATAAACTTAAATAAAATAATTCTTTTTTCAAGAAAAGAAGAAGAAAGAATAGGGATCAGCGGATAGAGTAATGGTTACATCACTGTCCTCCCACATTGTCAACTTGCAGTTCAAATCCCAGACTTGGCAGCTTAAATCTCACCCTGGTCCGATGTACATGCATGCCCAAGGTCCCAGAGGAGAATGGAGAAGGGATTGCAGCGTGCGCATCTTCCCTAGGGGGTGATTTCTCACTTTCTATCTCTCTGTCAGTCTGGCAAGGACACACTCCCTACAACAAAAGCCCTTCACCACCACCTGCTGGCCCCTATTTATTTATTGTTTAGAGAAAGATTTTTGTTATAGGTAGAGGCAGTGGGTCCTCGCCAGAGGGACAGAGAAGTACCAAGGTGTTACAAAATGACACAGTGTGACCTTTAGACACATGCAGAAACATAGTGCTTTGGGCTATCACTGCAAGGCTAGTGAAAACCATTAACAAAGAATATTTGTTCTCAGGACCAGCAGTTGGCGTAATGGCTATATCACTGGACTCTCATGTAGTCGATTGCAGTTCGAGTCCCGAACCCAGTGGCTTAAACTCACACCGGGTGCGTGCACATGTGTGCCCAAGATCCTGAGAGGAGAATGGAGGACAAGGGATTGCAGCATGGCTATCCCCCCCTACTGGGTTAGTTCTCACTTTCTGTCTCTCTGTCTTTCTGGCGAGCATAAGCACCCAATAGCAAAAATTTTAAAAAAAGAACTTACCTGGGAATGGGGAACAACAGATAATGGCTTGGGGGCTGGGCTACATGGCCAACCACAGTTCAAGACCCAGACCTGGTGACTTGCTTTCTTACTTTCCCTCTGTGTTTATGTATGTCTCTCTCTCTGGTCAAATGAAAGTAAATGAATGAATAAATAAACTAAAATAAATATTCTTTTTTAAAATAGAAACTTACCTGGGAGACCAGCAGATGAACTAATAGTTATGTCATTGGACTCCCATGTAGTCAATTACGTTTCTGGTCCTGGCTCCCGCAGTTTCAAACATACCTGGCACATGTGCGTGCATGCCCAAAATCCCAAGAGGAGAATGGAGGAGAAGGAATTGTTTCATGGCCATCCCCCCTGACGGGGGTGTGTGTGTGTGATTTCTCACTTTCTGTTTGTCTGTCTTTGTCTTTCTTGCGAGTGCATGTGACCTATAACAAAAACCTTTCCAAAAAAAAAAAGTGACGGGTAGGCACCAGCAGTTAGCGTAATGGCTATGTCGCTGGACTCCCATGTAGTCAACCGTGGTTCAAGTCCTGGACCCGGAGGCTTAAACTCACGCCAAGGGCGTGTGCGTGCATGCGCAAGATCCCGAGAGGAGAATGGAGGAGAAGGGATTGCGGCGTGGCCATCCCCCCTGGGGGTGATTTCTCGTGTTCTATCTCTTTGTCTCTGTCTGTCTGGTGAGCACACGCGCCCTATAGCGAAAAACCTCTCCAAAAAAATTTAAAAAGTTAAAAAAAAAAAGAGTGACAGGTTGAGTTGTTTATGTCACTCTTGTCCTTCTTTAGGGCCTTGAACCAAACACATTACGTCACCTCTCCAGAATTAGCATGGGGTAGGGAGACACAGAGAGATGGAAGTGGAAAACCGTCCTGACTCTGGAAGACCTACCAGGAATGGGCCTCAAGAGCCGGGAGTTACCCAGACCTGAATTCACATCATGACTGTTACATTCTCATGGTGTGATGGTGGGAAAGTGGCGTCGTGACTATAGAATGGAACCTGTAAGAGTCTCTACCACAAAAGGGACAAGAAATACTACGAAAAAGTGGCAAGGGGAGGAGTCACCCTCTATCTCACTGTCTGTTTCTGCTGATGGCATCCTCACTGTCCTGCTATATTGAGGGACCACACCCTGATCGCTTAAGTCTTCCCAGGCTGCATCTCCACGAACCAAGCAACTAATGTCTAAGTTCATGTTTGCATTGCTAACAGAAATGGCTGAGACTGGGTGAATTAAAAATGGTAGAGATTTTTTTTTTTACTGATTTTTTTAGGTCATATAAGTTTATCTTAAGGAAACTGGGTTCTATCCTTTGCTTACATTTTTGTTATCCCAGGATTAGTTAAGATTAATTTTCTTCCATTCAATTTTGGGTTTCACTTCTTTTATCTTAGAACTTGTGAATTATGTGGAATGTACCTAGGGGTACGTGGGGGCAGGCGACAGCTTTTTCTGACCTCAGAGGTGGTCACTTGTCATGTTCCAGCAGTCCAGGGCTCTTGCATGTCCCCAAGCAGCTCCTTCAAGCTCCAAGGAATCCCCTTTCCTGATCTAACCATGACTGAGACAAGGCTCCCAGGAGGCATTAGGCTCACCCCTCGCTGTGGGCACTAAGGAAATCCCAGCCTCTCCTTGACAGAGTATGACAGCACAGGAGGGCAGACAGGTGACACCTTTTCCCTCCCAAAGTAAAACCCCTACCCTGCCAGGCTGGGCTCTATGACAATGGAGTAGCCCTGAGGATAGGGGAATTTAAAACATCTTCCCCTCCTCATCAGAGGGCCACGCCTGCAGAGGTGTGCCTGACACTCAACAGCCAGGACCTGTGTCGCCCGCCGACACCGACCGTCTTCTCTACGGCTGGCTGAGGCCGGGAGAGGGACTGTCGTAACAGGAGAGGGACTGTCGTAACGACACAGACGAGTTCCTTCATCCTCTTTAGCTATTCATGCCATGGCTGGGTCTCACCAGGCGAAGGCCAGTTCTAAGCCACAGGTGCTGGGGGCTCTGTTCCATCTTGCACACTTCGGAATTCCAAGTGAATAACTGAATAAATTAAAGGATAACTCTTGGTCCCGCTGACGGTGAACAGTTCCTGAGTTGGGGGCTGAGGATTAAAGAAAGACAAAGAGACTGGATAGAAACGGGAGGACTGCCAGTCAATACTGGCCCGCACCAAATATACCTTATTGCTAGTATTTATACACACTCCAGAGACTTCCGTGATGGAAGGTTTGAAGTCCTTACTGAATTTATCAGGTGTTATAACGAATACTTTGGAACATTTAGTTCAAAACAATCGCAGGACATTCTGCTCATGACAGTCCAGCCACCCAAGGCCATGTCTGGTTAAAGACCCTGGTCTTATTCTGGTGGTCACGTCCTTCCTATTCCTCCCGTCTCCTCTTTGGCACCCCACAGAGAAGCTTATCAAATCCTCACATAACTTCCTATGAAGCTGCGCTCTTTGGACTGTACAACTGGCATAACCAAGGCCCCAAGAAGTTTAGTGACTCACCCGAGGCCACACAGCTGACCTCGAGTGCTGCAACCTGTGAGACGGGACCCCTGAGTGGGAGCACCGGTGACCTTGAGAAAACACATAGAAACATAAGTAGAGAAAAGCGGGGAATCAGGAACACCAGGTGTCTTTGATAGCAGTAGCTGCGACCCTGAGGCCTTCCCAGGTTTATTCTTTTATGAGGTAAGGAAGAGGGAGACGCCGAAGGTAAAGCCAGGTGTTTTCCATTATCAACGGAAGCCGTAAAACATCTTGCCCTTGCAGTTCTAAACCAGCCTCCCCTGGCCTTCTCTGGATGAAACATCCTTTCCTTTAAGCTCCACCGGAAGTGCAGCATCAGTCCAAGGGAGCGGGTCTGTGTTTTTGCTCCTTTTTTTTTTTTTTAAAGGGGATGGCCACACCACAATCCCTTCTCCGTTCTCCTCTCAGGATCTTGAGCACGCACGCATACGTGCACGGCGTGAGTTTTAAGCCACCGGGTCCGAGACTTGAACCGCTATCAACTACATGCGAGTCTAGCGACATAGCCATTATGCTAACTGCCAGTCCCATTGCCTCTTGTAATTTTAACCAGCCTCCCCTGGCCTTCTCTGGCTGAAACATCATTTGCTTTAACTTCCACCGGATGTGCAGCATCAGTCCAAGGAAGCAAGTCTGTGTTTTTGCTCCTTTCTTTTTTGAAAAATTATTTAATTCCACTTATTATTATTTTTTAATTTGACCATACAGAGACTGAGAAAGGGCAAAAGCAAGCTGTCAAGTCTGGGATTCGAACTGCGGTCTTCAATGTAAGAATCCAGCCTCTTTATCCAGGCCACCTGCCCCTTCTGCTCGTCTTTAAAGGTCACCATTGCTTAGCTCAGATTCAGCAGCTCCCTCCACTTTACGTGAGGAGCTGCCTCAGGGCTCTGCCTGCCGGTCCTCCCACCTACCTCCGGAATCTGCACCATGACCAGGGGAAAAAAAATGAAGGAAATTTATTTTATATTAAAGTTGTGAAGAGGACCAGGGGCTGGCTTCTCTGGGTGATGGTGTTCGAGTTCATGGTTTTGCTGTTGCCGCTGAGCACGATGTACGGACTCTTCTGGGCCTTCTGCTTTTCCTGGAGCAGAGCCACGGTACCCAGTGGTGTGTCACTGGAGCTCATCTTCTTTAGGAGTCCCTCCTCATGCAGCTTCTTCATGCGCCGCTCCGTCTTCATCTGGCCTGAGCCCTTGCCATGGAAACGATGGCACAGCTGCCGGAAAGCTTCCTTGGGTGTGAGTTTCTGGCTCCTCTCCATCCAGGCTGCAGTGTCGTCCAGCCAGGGGTCCTCCACCCCCAGTGTCCTCATCTTGCCCACCTTTCGACTCAGCAGGCGCTTTTCCTCCGCAGTCGCCAGCGTTTCCTGTTCCTCTTCTCACTCTCTCAAGGACATGGGGTTGATGACTTAGGCGGCCACCGGATCTGCCTGGGTGCTCACCTCCTTTTTGACAGCATGGACCTCCAAGGCCGG